ACCTGTATGTCAATCAATTTACATTACATATCATTCTATCATGACCTCTGTTAATCCATCGGACTTTCTATCCCAGTTTTTATATATCCACATTGCTCTTACCTGTAACCAGCAGCTTGTTGGCGATCGTGGGCGTTGTGGGCGTGGGGCTGAGAGGCACTGCCTTGTGTGGCTCCTCCCTCCCGACTAGTGCCCGTCTCCTGGTACGCCCGTGCCCGCCTGGTGATACGCGGGTGGGAGTGACGAGAGGGGAGAAGGAAGTTTAGAATTGTTTTTAGATGTATATAGTAGCATTCAACACTATGTAGATGTGGAGACAGTTCGTGCTTTTGGGAGTATGATAAAGATCCTTCATGATATATACAGGTATCTTGTAGAAAATATAATCGGCATGAACATTCAGTGAATATGGATGTAATGATATGAAAAAGAGGTATGTAACGAGAGAAGAAAAATGGTACGGTATGGTAAGTAAAAAGAATCGATACTAACATGTAAAGATAAGCATTTTCATTATAGGACAGCATCCGAGTGTATGCTTAAATATTAAATAAAAATTGATATGTTACCACTAAGAGTTAGAGAGGTTAGTCATGAAAGGGAGATTATAACTTCTCTAATAAAAAACAGAGGGACATGAAAAGACTCATAAACTACACATACGGAACATGACTCACGTTCTGGGCATGGTGCAGAAGGACGGGTTGAGACTGTGAAGAGGCAGACTGCCCCCGTATTGGTGCATGTCCTGAAGAGGCAACTGCCCGATTTGCGGCTGCGGCAGATCCAGCAGGTCAGGATACTGGCCGTTGCTACTTCCTACGGACGCCTGCGATGCTGCGCGGTGACACATCCTGTGGAGGATCACGTCCTTTTGGTGGTCGGAGAGGTCCCTCCACCTCGTCCTTTCGTCGGGGTTCATCTGGGCTCCTCCGGCGTCAGTCTTGGCTATGTCGACGTAGGACACGTTGCTGGGAGCCGTGGTAGGAACACTTGGCCCCTGGACAGGTTCCTGCTGCAGGACAGGACTTTCGCCTTTCTCCAGGACTCTGCTGGAGAAGTCCTCCATAGATATGTCTCTGTGGCGCCAGGATTGTCTTTGTTGTGGTCGACGCGGAGACACCTCGAGTTCGTTCGTCGGGACGATGTGGTAGCCAGCCAGTTTGTGCTCGTCCGCCGTAGCGGCCCTGGACGAGTGGGCTGCCACCGTCTTGTCGGTTTCCTCCTCTGGCTGCCGTCCGCTTCGCACTTTACAGTATATAAGACTACACACGATGAGCAAGACGACCACTAGAATACAAATCCCACCTAAGAGGCCTCCCTTCATGTAATTATTATCTATGTTGGCGACTCTCACCTCGGCAACCTCGTGGGACACCTGGAGCGTCAGATTGACCTCTCTGCGCCCCGCCCTGTTCTCCGCCACGCACCGGTACTGCCCCTGGTCCAGGGGGGTCACGTCCATGATGGTCAGGTTAGAAATCCTCGATGTATAAAAGGGCGTCAGGAACTCCAACAGAGAGTACCGCTGGGACTCGCTGGCGTTGTACAGCTGGCTCTCCCCTATAACCCACGTTATGGTCGTCTCCACCTCCGACTCGACGCGACACGCCAGGGACACGTTCTCGCCCTCAGCCGCAAGGACCCTCGGCGCCAGGGCAGTGACCTGCGGCGCGCACACGAAGTCCTCATCGTCCAGGATGAGCCAGTCTCCGCCCTCGAGCCACATCGGCTCCGTGCACGTCGGGGGAACCGTCGGGGCCAAGTTGCGGTCCAGCATCCAGTTCCTGAGCGGCCGCAGGAGGCAGTCGCAGTGCCAGGGATTGCCGTCCAGGTGCAGCACACGCAGCATGGCCAGCGGCATCAGGTCCTGCGCGTCCAGAGTGACCAACTTGTTGCTGGACAAGTCGAGGACCTCGAGCGACACCAGGTTCTGCAGCGCGCCGCCCTCGAGCCGCGTGAGGTTGTTATGGCTGAGGTCCAGGTTGACCAGCTCGGCTGTGGGAGCAAACGCCAGCTTGGGGATGGTGGTGAGTTTGTTGTAGGAGAGGATGAGGTGGCGCAGGCCGCCCATGTCCGTGAGGGCGGCGGTGGGAACGCTCTGGAGAAGGTTGTTGCTGAGATCGAGCTCGACCACGTTGGCAAGCATGCGGAAGGCCCCCTTCTCCAGCCGCTTCAGGTTGCAGAAGCTGAGCCAGACCTTCTGCAGGTTGACAAGGCCCGTGTAGACGAAGGAGTCCCGCGGGAGGATCCTCAGGTTGTTGTGGCGTAGATCGAGGACCTGCGTCGAGGGGTCCAGTCCGCGCGGGATGTCGATGAAGTGAGCGTTCCGGCAGGCGACCACCTCCTTGCCGTCACGCCACTTGCACTCACACACTTTGGGACAGCCGCCCCACACCCCGACACCCATCCACGCCCACACCCACACACACGCCCACACCAAGGCCGTGCGCGTCCTGGGCTGATAGAAAGAGCTGCGAGAGCCCTGATGTGTGCTCAT